TTGATGGAACTGGATGTTACAAAAACCTCCCAGTTCCTAAAGAAGAGGTGCACCTGGGCTAAGCTGCAGGATTTCTTTTTTTGGAGAGGTTTTACCATTGGGCGCGTGAGCTTAGCAGAAAGACGGAGAGAGACAGAGAGACAGAAAGCGTGAAATCACCCCCCGGGGGGGATGGCCACACCACAATCCCTTCTCCTCCATTCTCCTCTTGGGATCTTGGGCACGCACGCACATGCGCCCAGCATGAGTTTAAGCCACCAGGTCCAGGACTCGAACTGCGGTCGACTACATGGGAGCGACATAGCCATTATGCTAACTGCTGGTCCCAGCTGCAGGGTTTCAATGGAGAATTCAAAGGTGTGTGGAAGGAGATGACCTGCACTCTCTCTGCAGCTTCTTGTTTCTCCCAGCTGCTCACTTTGCAGTCTCTCTTCTCTGGTTTTTAGTCATTTCATGGTATAGTCCTATTTGGCTACTTTGTTGGAGGTTTCTGGAACTGTAAGCTCACATGCTTCACTTTAATGTCAGGTACTTCTATCCCAATTTCTCCTCTACTATTGTGTTTTGCAATGTGTTATCCACAGAAAGAGATCTGAATTCAGATTTATGAAGCTGAGTTTATCCCTTTCTGTAGCAGTTCAGTGGAGGTTGATATTTTCTATGACCCTGAATGTATTCAGATGTTTTGCTACTGTGCACCTAGACCTGTCTGGACACACAATGTGTGGGAACTGAGAAGCAATGTGAGAAAGTCAGGTAAGGAAACAAAGAGAAAAAGACCAAAAAAAAAAAAAGAAAAAAGAAAAAAAAAAGGCATAAAGATAAAAAGGGAAAAAAAATTTTTTAAATCCATAATATGAAAACTGCATGGCATGCTTGTATGCCATACGAAAGAGGCAGGCCTGGTCCCACCTCAGATGCACATGGATTCTGAAATGAGCAAGGTAAAAGAGAGGTCTGAGACAAGAAAAAGTACTTACAGATTTAAATATTTATGTATAAATTTTGAGAGAACGAGAGAGACAGATAGACAGAGACAGAAAGAAGACAGATCACGCTACCTCACTTCACACTTCACTAGGTGTTGGGCAAGAAGGCGAGCTTTGGAGCAGGGGCTTTTCAGTTTAAGGAGCAGGGTGGGGCTCACCTCAGATGCACATGCATTCTCTCTTCACTAAGTGTGGGGCAGGAAGGCAATATTACATAATGCTCAGTTTCCCTACTATAATGTGAAGATTAAAAAGAAGTTGTACATTTGTTGTAAGGAATAACAAAAATAATTCTCTTATATGGCTAGAACTCAATACATGGAACCTACTATCTTCTTCCTTACTGGTGTTATTGTAAATAGAATACTCTATGGTGAGTTATGAAATACCACTGAACGTTGAGTGTCTGGTGACAGTTTAGTTACCCACAAGACAGTGTCAGGCCATAAAAATTCTGGCGCCTTAAGTCCACTAATCTTTGTTGTGCCTTTATCATTAAAGACTTCTTTAGAAGACTAAAAACTTAGTCTTAACTTCCTATTTTACTCCTTTCCAAAAAATAAAGGCTACTTTCAAAAGGTATCCACTGATTACAGAGGCCAGGTACATTTATCTCTAATTTTAGAGAGATTTTTTCTCTAGGGTTCATGTATTTGCTGGAGAGACAGAGAGATAGAAAGCGAGAAATCACTCCCCAGGGTGGATGGTCATGCTCCAATCTCTTCTCTTCCATTCTCCTCCCGGGATCTTAGGCATACATGCACATGTGCCTGGCATCAGTTTCTAGCCATTGGGTCCAGGACTCGAACCACAGTCAACCACGTGGGAATTCAGTGATATAACCATCATGCCATCTGCTGGCTCCTTACCTATATGTTTTACTCTGACCAAATGTCCTTTGATACTCTGAAAGTCCACTGTGTTTAGAAAACCTGTAATTTCAGTAGTATGTAAGTCTGCTGCCTACTATTAGCTTGGACACCCAAGAGTTAACTACCTTTACAATGAAATGATATCCCTTTAATTTCAATGAATTAAACCATGGTGGTTCTCTTGGCCCAAGAATAAATGCATGGAAATTAAAGAAAATAGTTCTAATGTCATGAAACAGCAAAGGTCAGATAGGGTGAGATGATTACGCTCATCATTATTAACAGTGCTTTGCATTTAGATAGCCCCTCTTGTGGCCAGACTCATTCTTATTCTGTTCCATTGCTTAGAATCTGAGCAGTTTGTGGAGATCCTGCTGACACTAAGGGTGACACTGATGTGGAAGAGAAGCCAAAAAGTCAACAGGGCAGTAAGCAATTAACCTTTAGGCTTTATTTGCTCACTCTGATCTTCTTATGCAAACAACCTGCCAAAAAAGGGCTATTAAATCACACCCATATAATCTTAAAGCATCTTCTGGAACTTCTGCTTTATTTATATTTTAGAATTAGAAAGAAAAAAATTAAATGATAATGTTGTGTATAGATGTGTATAGGTGTGTGTAGGTATGTATGTATGTTTGAAAAGTTTGGATATTTGTACCAAAAATTCTAATAAGTGTAAGGGAAATATAAATTAAAGAAGTTTAATTCTCCTTGTTGAAAGTAAGTGGAGACTCTCCTTGTCTGTCTCTTTGAAATTTTACTTTGGATATTTGAAATTGTAAGTACTTTCTCCTCTCTTTGAAATGTGTATAAACACTTTTGAAAACTGAGTAGGACTTTTGTAAGCTTTAAGACCCAAGGATATCTTTCTCAGGACCTAGGGGGCCATCTTTTGAGACATAAACATCAAACATCAAGGGGGATTCTCTCTCTCTCTCTCTCTCTCTCTCTCTCTCTCTTACTCTCTCTCCCTTAGTTTCTATGAGAAGCTAGGAACTTAACTTTGGTATGAGCCTTATTTCAAATCGTAAAACTATCTTATGTTGTAAGATATGGGAAGATAATTTTTCCTCTGGATAAAAACCAATAAGCCATCACATATGGTCAACCCAATTACTAGGTAAAGTTAGAAAGTGTAACACATGGTGCTGTCAAGACCTCTCGCTCGAGGACTAGTTATTACTTATCTTAAAAACATATACGTAATGAGTTGCATCTGCTTGGATGTATAAAAAGGTGAGACTTCTTTCTGTTTTGGCAATCTCTTAGCAACTGCCTGTGATACAAGACACATTCCAGCTTTAATGCTCATTCAATGATAAAAGTGTTTTCTTTGTCTAACTGCCTTGATGGAGATTTCTGGATTGGGAGGTTTTGTTTTTAATTAGATTTCCTCAAGACATAACTGTGCTTTTAACTGGAATGATGACCTGAAGAAAAGAATAAGATATGCTGTTGTTATTAACTGTATATGTACGTTAGACTCATTCATGTAGTTTAAAATAGATATTACAAACACCATATTCAGGGATTCTGACATTAGGTATTTGGGGTCTAATGGTGGAGTCCAGACTTTTAACAACTATCTCAGGTGATTTTGATACAGGTGATCAGTAGATGCTGTGGTAAATGAATCTTTTAACTTTTTTTGTTTTTCTTTTTGCTATAGGGCACATAAGCTTGCCAGAGAAAGGGAGTGAAAGAGAGAGAAAAAGAAATGAGAAAGCACCCTCCAGGGGGGTTGACCATGCTGCAATCCCTTCTCCTTCCTTCTCCTCTGGGGATCTTGGGCACGCACACACAGGTGTTTTTCAAGCCACTTCAATCTTGTAGTCAGCTCTGTGAGATTCAGCCACCTTAACCACCATCCACTGGGTGGCCCAATATCATTATTAAATATAACATGTGGTAACTACTTCCTTTGGTGTCCCAGTCACTTCCTGGTTCATTAACATGTTTTTGTTACAAGTACACAACTACAACATCCATTATATCCTCTCTGCTAAGCTCTCTTCTTACACCTAGACCTTACTCATCCATAAAAGGGTCATGGCTTTCCCACCCTGCCCAGACCTCCAGCTAGTCCTCTGTTCCCTCACTTTCATGAGAGCCACTGCCTCCCACATACTTAGGGGTGAATACAATGAGCATCTCTCACCTCCATCTATATCTTTGTCTCCTAATCAAAGAAATAGCTACTATTTTTCGAGGGTTATCTCCTCCACCTGTACCATTGATTTTGTTTACATATTTTTTTCCTTACTGCATCAATTATTTTTCCATTAGTATTTCAAATCTCTGAAAAATTTCACGTGGTCTTTGTTCTGATGCAGAAATCTCATTATGAGGACTTCCTACGGATCACTTTATGCAGGTGAGCTTTCCCCTGGCAAGTTGCGAACACAGGAGTGCTGATAGGCTTAGAGAGTGTAACACATGGCCCAGAGTATTCACCGTACATGGCAGACTTAGGAAAGTGGTTTTAGATGATCTGATCTTTATTTTGTAGATGTCAAACTGTAATTTTATAACTTTAGCTAATATAAAATTATAAATGCTTAAATGAAATGTCAAGTACCTTCTCAGTGAGTGCAGATTTTAGGACCTGTGGAACAATATGACGTAAATCTCAGTCTGTCACAATATTTATGGCTTTCTGTGATATCCATTCTGCTGTTGACCTGTATGCTTTAATAGTGATCACTACTTTACTGAAATATTATTTTTTTTAGTATCACATAATATTTCAAAACCATTTTCATCAGTTTCATTCCTAAATGATTTTATTAGCACATAAGAGCAGTTTTTAAAGTCTGAATTAGTACATGAGAAGAAAGGCATTAATTAGGCATATTTGAATGGAATTAGCCTTTTCCAATTTTACTACCCACTAGCCAATATTTCTCATATTTGTAAGCAGCCATTATAATAATATTATCTGTTATGAACACTTTGTATGCTAATGTGGATGTAAATTGCAAGTCCAGAAAAATTATCTTTTGTTGTTTGCCATTTGTTTGTACCCACTGATGTAAGGGATAGTTCCCCACTTTCCATATGCACTTAAATTATTTACTATTAAAACATAGTCACTCTTGACAGAAATAATCAGAGAATATATTGGGGTTGCACTTACCAGGAAATCTGCTGTGGAGGTTGGCATCACAATTGTAGCCATTGAACTGAGCAGACCCCGGAAGCACTCGAATTGTTAGAAGCAGCACCAACCATATTTGTTCCATTGCAAAACCTAGAAAAGAGTTATTTTTTAAAATTTTTTTTTAGGGAGATTTTTGTTATAGGGTATGTGTTTTAGTTGGAAAGATAGAGAGACAGAAAATGAGAAATTCCCCAGAAAGGATGGCTATGCTGCAAACCTTTCTCTGTTCTCTTCTTGGGATTTTGGGCACATATCCACATGTGCCTGGTATGAGTTTCTTTTTCTTTTGAGAGTTTTTTGTTTTTTTGTTATAGGCATGTGTGCTAACCAGAGAGACAGAGCAAGACAGAGAGACAAAAAGTGAGAAGTCACTGCCATTCCACAGGGGCATGGTCACACTGCAATTCCTTCTCCACCATTTTCTCCTTGGGATTTTGGGCACGTACACACTAGCGCCCAGCATAAGTTTCAAGCCACCAGGTCTGAGACTCAAACCATGGTTGGTTATGTGAGAGTTCAGTGCCTTAATCACTATACTATCTGCTGGCCCTAAAAAGAGTTACTTATCATGTGGATATCACCAGCCTTCATTTCCGTTTGCTGGAAAGGCTGAACTTGACCTCAGCTCACTGATGGATAAGCAGTCAACAACCATGCAGCCAAAACTCAGTAAAAGTCTGAGGACTGTCAAAAACAATATGGGCAATGAAGGCAGAGGTTTTGGTCACAATACTAAAATATTATTTTCATTGTTTATTTCTCTTTACTAAGGGTGACAAAGACAGATTTTCATAGTGGAACAGCTAAGACATAAATCATAAAGTTTTCAAAAGGAAAATCCTTTATGATAAATAGGAAGAACTCACACCAATTATCTGGTCAACAAGAACATCATAAGTAGGCATACTAACTAATTTGAAAACAACTTTACACTGTATAATACCTATAGATAGCTATATATCTATAGTAGCTATATATCTAGATATATCTATAATAATGAGAATTCCTTCACAAACATATATTACATATTTAAATCCTTCTGATTATATATAATAATCCTTCTTTTAATATATAAATATCATATATATAGATATCTATATATATGATATACATATATTATATCTATATATCATATAGATATATAATATATAAAATAATATATATAAAATAATATTTTTTTGTGAAGGAATTCTCATCACTCAAGATGACCAAATAATGTCAGAAAAAAAATGTTTTCTCAACAACAAAATTCCAAACTACTGCAACTTCTCAAAATCAATGGTTTGCATGTTATTTTGACAGGAAACAAAGAAACAAAACCAAAGAACAGGAAAATACTCCATATGTGAAAATCAATGTCATTCTTAAAATGGCTGCTCCTTGGTGGGCAATAAGGACTGATAGAGACATGAAAAACCTGAATTCTTAAGAGAAAATAATGAAAGGTTTTTTATAAAGATGTCAGTGTGGGTTGGACAAATAAATAGAATTTGACTTTAATACTTTAGTACTTAAATGCCAGTCAGTGAAGTGTTTAGTATTTTTTTTTCTTGGGTACCCTTTTAAAAATGCTTGCTGGAGCCAGCCAGTAGCATGGTGATGAGGCATCTGGACCCCACATGGTCCACTGTGCATTTCAAGTACTGCACCTAGCAGCTTGAAAAACACCCCAGGCTCATGTGTGTGTGTGTGTGTGCCCAAAATCCTAAAAGGAGAGTGGAGGAGAAGGGATTAAAATTTGGTCATCTCCTGTGGAGAGTGGTATCTCACACATCCCCACCCTGAGTCTCTCTCTGCACATGCCCTCTAGCAATTTTTTTTAAGTTTAAAAAATGCCTGATAAAGTTAAAACATCTTCCAGAAGTGCCCATTTTATTCTCAGAGCACAGGTTATACACTAAAAAAAAAAGATTCAATTGCTAGTTTAGGCTTATGCATAAAAAAGAAAAAGAAAATAAAATTATAAATGATGTATTCAAATAATTCAGTATGTTTTAAAAGCTTGGGGTTTGGGGGGAAATGGTGTTTTAGCTACCATTAAAGATCTGCCTTTAGATAATTAATCAAGTCTTTAACTAAAGGAAGGAAATATATTTTACTTTGAATCACCATTTTAAAATAACAAATTTATAGTGAACAAAGTCACTTTGGTGAGGATGTGGAAAAGGAAGGCATAACTTTACTCTCAAAAATAGACAGAAATGCTTCTGAAGCTTCCTTCCTTTGGCATAATAACACATTACTCAGGCATGATCCTAATGACTTGAGGAGAACAGCCATATGTTTGGTTAGCTCTGACTCCCTGGTCTAGTTCATAAACAAAACACTCCAAAAGAGCCATTCCAGACCCCAGGATCTTTTGGTAATACCTATGTCATCATTGTCTAGCCCACTATAGATCAAATAGATAGCTCTGCTCTTTGGGAGTCTTCGGAAGACTACTAGAAAAGACAGCTTGGTTCTGCGTGGTACACCCCATCACACACACATTTACCCTGTGTCCTGCCGTTGACTTCAAGATAGGTTCCATTAACCCCTGAAATGTACCGGAGACTGTAAATCCACATTGTTTTCCCTAACATGGAGCTATCTGCTAACAATTTACTGAATCAGGAATCCAAGTTAGTGAGGTTTTATTTTGCTTTGTTTTAGTTTTTTGTTTAGACAGGGTCTCACTAGACTGTTTGATCTGGCCTCAAACTTGCGGACCTCTGTCTTAACCTCCTAAGTAGCTGGGATTACAGGTGCATTACCACCATACTGAACTTGGTAAGTTATTTATTTACTGAATGTACACTCTACACAAAGAAAGCACTGCTAGATAATTTACTATATTCTCTCATTTATATTCCTTACAGTGACTGGGTGAAGTAGAATTATTACTTCAAGAACAGGGAAAAAAAAGGTCTCAAAAAGTTTATGTGATGGGACCAGCAAATGGCATAATGGTTATGTCATTCAACTCCCACATAGTCTACTGTGGTTTGAATCCTGGACCCAGCGGCTTAAAACTCACTCCAGGCATGTTTCCATGTGTGCCCAAAATCCCCAGAGGTGAATGGAGGAGAAAGGATTGCGGAGTGGCCATCCATTCTCGGGTGGGGGGGAGGGTTATTTCTCATTTTCGGTCTCTCTGTCTCACTCTGGCAAGTGCATGTACCCTATAGCAAAAATCTCTCTTTAAAAAAACAAGCTTAATTGACATCAGAAAAAGTGGAGTAATCTTATAGATCTATATTACCAGAAATGAATGAAATGCTCACGCGCATTAAAACAGCTTACTTAGAGCAGTAGTAAACTCTCAGTTGTACAACTTAAAGTCAGATTTGAGGGGCACCAGCAGGCAGCATGGTGGTTAGGAGCTATACTACCACATGGCCAACCGTAGTTCACATCCCAGAACCAGCAGCTTGAAAATTATGTCAGGCACATGTGTGTGTGTACCCAAAATTCCAAGAGAAGAATGGAAGATAAGGGATTTCTGGGTGGTCATCCTCCCTGAGGGAGTAACATCTCACTTTCCCTCTCTCTGTCTCTCTCTCTGGCAAGTGCATGTGCCATATGTATGTGTGTGTATATACACACACACACACACATACACACACACACACACATCAGCTTTGAGGTTGTCCAAAAAAAGGCATGCCACTCTCCTTTGCACTTTGAACAAAATCTACAGCAATTTCATGAACAGTAAAGCCTTTAATATATGCTTTTTATGAATTAAATGTATAAGTGGAAGGACAACTTGCTTTAATAGAAAATGCACCAATTTGGGGACCAGAAGATGGCAAAATAGTTATGTCGCTGGACTCCCAGATGGGCGACCATGGTTTTAGTCCTGGACCTGGAGGCTTGAAATTCACGCTGAGTGTGTGTGCATGCATGACCAAAATCCCAAGAGGAGAATGAAAGAGAAAGGATATTGTGTCATGACATTCCTCCTGGGGGATGATGTCTCGCTTTCTCCCTCTTTGTCTCTGTCTCTCTGGTGAGCACATGTGCTCTACTGCAAAAATCTCTCTCTAAAATTGTTTAAAAAGAAATCGCACCAAAGTTTATACTAGAAGATACAGATTCTGATCCACCTTTAGCCATTTTCTACATTTGTCATATGAAAATCAAGATGATGATCACAGACTTTAAAAAGTATAAGAGCACAGTATACTTTGGACATATGGAAGGCACTGAAATCTTACTTCCAGCCTCACCATATATTGATGTGTAGGGTTGCCCTACACAAAGACATCCAATAGAGGAGGGTAGTGACCAGGCCTGAAGTCCTCTGGCCAAGTCAAAACTGAAACAGTGGTGTCCCATAGTTAATGACCACCCAGACTGGCTAAATCATATTATTTGGTTTACTGTGATATTTGTACTGTATTTTCAAATTAGAGTACACTAAGAAGAGAATTCTAAAAACACCCACATCTCTTATCAAGGCAGTATCTGTACTTCAAATCCCTGTAACATTGGCAGTGCTAATGGCATTTTGAAGGCTTCTGGAGGCTTTTACTATTCCACCTATGAGTTAAGGCCTATGAACTATTAACCTGCAAACTTCTCATTCTCAACCTTATCACCATTATTTCCTTAGCACATGGAACTCTTGAGCATCCCCCTGCAGTAACTGGTTTGGAGATGCTACCTTACTGCAGTTCTTAAGTTCTTTCCTGGAATGGAATTACCTGGGATTTGGGGAGTATCTTGAGACTCTTTACATGTAAGAAAACATAACATCTTTGCCTCCTAGGCTCTTTCATTCTTAAACAGGTGCAATTCTAGACAGGTGTACTCCGACTCTGACCTGGCTGAAAAGGCTAAGTGGAGCTGCATGTCAGAAGGCAGGACTCTATTTCTGTGGTTCACACTGAGATGATCTGTGTTGCTTGCCGTCTCTCTATGGCTCCAGTCAACTCCTATCAGAGAATCTGAGCAGAAGTATTTCCCAAATTCACTCTAAGTGCGACAACCCACGCCCCCAGTTGGGTGCTAACAGTGGTTTACAAGACCACTTAACACAGCTGATATTACGAAACATTCATAACACATTCTTAGATAAGAATGACCTTGAAGATATGTGTGGACAAGATTTTTATATTTGCTTCTTACTCAGTACCTTCATAAATTTAAATTGAGAGGATAGGAGAAGAGGAGAAGGATTGTTATAAAATATTAAATTTTATGTAATTTAGAAGTATTGATTTAAAAAAGAGACACCTACATCTTTTAAACTGGCACTAATAGACTCTGTGTTTTATATTTAGCAACACAAAGGAAGTCATATGCTAAGTGATTTGCTGTCAAATATGTAAATGTCTCTTCTATTATATTTTCTTTTGAAAACAACTTCTTCTTCCAAAATATTAATTTTTAATTTATTTGCTTGGGATTTGATTTGGTGTCAGTTAAATATAATTTAACTTTTAATTCTCAGTCAGTTTTACATATATTGACGTGGCTCTACCACAAAACTCTTCTCTAGATTTTATATCTAAAGATTTTTTTTTATCTTCCTTTTATTGAGATTTGTTACGTGCTTGGCACAATGCTGTATTTAATATTCAACTAATAACATAGATTTAATTTTTACTCGTGTTACAGATGTGAAAACTGAAGCTTAAAGTCTTTAATTGACTTGCCCAGGTCACAGACCTAGGAAAAAGCAGAGCGGAATTCCAATCCAAACTTGACCTTTGGAATCACTATGCTACTCTGTTTGACTGAATTGGAGTTTGGCAAATAAATAAATGTCCTGTTCATTTTCAGAAAGCAAATTATACTAATAGCAGATGCTTAAAATATGCTTTGAAATAAATGATTCAGATTATTGAGGCAAAATATTTTAATATCCTCATAATTGTCATGACTACCTCATTTAGCCAATCAGTGCATAAGGAATATTATTCTTCTCACAGTTGACTTAATAACACTATTAAGTTTTAAGGACTGACCGTGTACCCGAATGCTTTCTGTACTTCCCACTCATGTTACTTAACTATGAGATAAGTCACTTATTCTCCTTATTCTGAGGAGGAGAAAACTAAGGCACAGAAATGTTACGTAACTTGCCTGAGACCAAACAAGTCAGCCAGTGTCAGAATCAGAACTTCTGCCCTGGCGCAATGACTCCAGAAGCCACCCTCAGCTATTATGTGGCACCACCTTCCAGAAAATAATGCGTCTAACACATAAAAGGAAATTTGGGTTCCAACAGGTGGTGTAGTGGTTAAGGTGCTGAACTCCCATGGCCATTCCCCCTCGGGGGAGTGATTTCTTACTTTCCCTCTCCCTCTGTCTCTCTATCTCTGTCTAGCAAATGTGCATGCCCTATGGCAAAAACCTTAAAAAAAAGGAAATTTGACAATTGCTTGGCAAATTTGATCAATAGCAATCTCCTATTGTTTTCACTTACTACATAATTATTGAATGCTTGCATGTACCTGATATTCTCCAGTGAGGCTAAGGTACAGTAATTAGGATAATTTTTATTTGCATAGAATTTACATTCTAGTAAGAGAAGTCACAGAAAAACAAAATCAGTAAGTAAAATATAAACTATATTTGTGGTAAGTGCTGTGGAAAAAAGTAAAGCAGGAAGAATAAGAAATTTTTAGGGTATAGAGGAAAGAGTTTTGAAATCTTAAACGGGATGGTCAGGATATATAATCAATCATATAAGTGAAGTTTGAGGGAAATTTAAATTTAAAACAAATAAACAACAAACTTTGGTCATGAACAACCATATTTATGTCTTTTTGTGGGGGGGGGGGGAGGGGGGAGGAGATTTTTACTATAGGGTATACGTACTTGCCAGAGAGACAGAGAAAAAGAAAGCAAGAAATCACCCCCGGGGGCGATGGCCATGCTGCAGTCCCTTCTCCTACATTCTCCCCATGGGGTTTTGGGCATACACGCACACACACCCAGCGTGGATTTTAAGTCACCGGATCAGGGGCTCTAACTGCAGTCCATTACATGGGAGCCCAGCTACGTAACCTTTACTTCATCTGCTGGTACCCATATCTATGTCTTTAATTTACACTAAAAAAAAAAAAAATGCTATTTAGGCACTTCCCAAATAAGTTAGTGCATAAGTTATCCTCTGGGAATAACTTGGACACTTCAAAAAGCTGCATTAACCTTTATAGATGAATAAAGGTGGCTCTTAGTGTCTGAGAAAAGTAATTTATTAAATAGCACCCCTGTGACCTGAGAAAAGTGAACCTATTGGAAAGCACCTTTATCTACTCTCAAGAAATAACTTTTGCTGAGACAAACGGGCTCAACAATTTATCAAAGTTTTGTATGTTCTGAATCTTACCACCTTCACAGTGTCTGGTCTATATGATAGCACTATAATTAGAAAGACAAATAGGAAATTCAAACCAGACATCATTTCTTGAAAAATTAAATTATCAACTTAAGATTTATGCATTTTTCACCAAACTAAAGCAACTTTTTTTTTTTTTCCATCACGCAGAGTCACAAATGTAAGAAAGACTCTGGCATTCATGATGACTCAGTCCTCCCATTCTCAGTTCTCTTCTGCACTTACTGATCAGCTACACTGCATGGATCTGAGGCCCCACCAGAGGGCATAACCTCATTCCAGGGGCTTCTATATCACCACTCCCGCCTGCTCTGCAGAAAAGATCAGAAATACTTCATTAGGCTTAAAATGACTGGAAGCAATTTTTGAAGTTCCTAGGAAAAGGCAGGAAAACAGATTTTTTTTTTTTACTTATTTTATTGTCAGAGGGTATATGTATTCATGAGAGAGAGAGAGAGAGAAACTCACACTCTTTTTTCCTCAATTTTCCTGTCCTGTCAAGATTTGGGGCATCCATTCACACACATCCAGTGGTTTTTTTTTTTCAAGTTACTCGCCAGGACTTGAATGACATGGGATCTGGCTTCTTATGCACAGGACTTAACTGCTATCCTATGGGGCTGGCCTGATATGTGTACATCTTAATAGAGATCAAAGTTTAGCTTAAAGGAATAAAGCTATACTCAACCTTTGGAAGCAAACAAAACCTAGGTAAAGAGGAACTACGGTCATGCAGATAGTCAACAGTTAAGAATCATGGTGTCATACAGTCTTTCTTCTGGAAGAACTCATTAACTTACCCTCCGAAATAACTGGCTTTAAAATTCTGGGGACAACAACTCTTCCAAGAAAGAAACATATTTTCTGATAGGATGTCTAGGCCAAAGTTCTAGATTATTTATTTCTACTTTGTTCTTGAACATTAGAATATATATATATATATAT